AAAGGATCAGAGGCCTCAGAATATGATATTCTGAGAGGCAAAGGAGCAAGGATTGTAACCAAGAAATCACCTACCCAGCAAGAGTGAATATATTCTTTCGGGGGGGGAAATGGATACTTAATGAAGTAGAGGAGTTTTAAGCATTCCTGATGAAAAGATCAGAGCTGAACAGAAAACGACATTCAAACAGAAGACTCAAGAGACGCAGAAAAAGGTAAACTAGAAAGAAACTAGAGTGATCATAAGGGACTCATTGGAATTAAACTGTTTACATTCCTATATGGGAAGATGATAACATGTAACTACTAAAAACTTTGTCATCATTAGGGCAGTAAAAAGGAATTTACATAGACAGAGGTTATGAGTCGATTATGTTGAAATGATTTCTAAAAAATATGAAGAGGGAGAAAGAGATACCCTGGGAGAAGAGGGAAGGGAGAGGTAGAATGGGGAAATTATTCTCACATAAAAGAGGCACACAGAAAAGAGTTTTTACAACAATGGGGAAAATTGGGGGAAGGATGGTGGCAGGCAATTCTTGAACTTCACTCTTACTGGAATTGGTTCCAAAAAGGAAAAAAATACACACACACACACACACACACACACACACACACACACACACACACATACATACATATACCCTCAGTTGTATATAGAAATATAAATTTCCCAGCAGGGAAGTAGGAGAGGAAGGGGATGGGGGGAGGGACGACATAGGGGAAAGAAGATTAAGGGAGGCAGGGGTTAGAAGCAAAATAGACTCTTGAGGAGGAACAAGATAAAGAGAGAAAGAGAGAGAGAGAGAGAGAGAGAGAGAGAGAGAGAGAGAGAGAGAGAGAGAGAGAGAGAGAGAGAGAGAGGAAGAAACAGAAGATAATGGGATGGAGGAAAATAGTTAGTAATCATTACTGTGAATGGGAATGGGATGAGCTCACCCACAAAATGGAAGCAGATAGCAGAATGAATTAGAAACCAGAATCCAACAATGTGTTGTTTACAAGAGACACACCTGAAACAGAAAGATACATACAGAGTTAAAATAAAGGGCTGAAGCAGAATCTAATATGCTTCAGCTGAAGTAAAAAGGGCAAGGGTAGCAATCATGATCTTTGACAAAGCAAAAGCAAAAATGTTGTTCAGTCATTTTTTATTGTGTCACGACTCCTTTTGGGGTTTTCTTGGCAAAGACGCTGGAGTGGTTTGCCATTTCCCTCTCTAGCTCATCTTACAGATGAAGAGCTGAGGCAAACAGGGTTAAGTGACTTGGCCAGGGTTACACAGCCAGAAAGTGCCTTAGGCCAGATTTGATCTCACTAAGATGAGTTTTCCTGACTCCAGGCCCAGCATTCTATCCTCTACACCACCTCATTGCTCCAAAAGCAAAAATAGACCTAAATAAAAGAGATGATTTGGGAAACTGCATTTTGCTAAAAGGTGCCATTAAAAAATGAAGTAAAATTAAAACTTTTTACAAGTTTCTCTGATAAAGACCTCATTTCTCAAATATATATAGTTCTACACAACTGAGTTAAATTTACAGAAATAAAAGCCATTTTCCAATTGATAAATGATCAAAGAATGTTATTGGCAGTTTTCAGAAGAAGAAATCAAAGTTATTTATAGTCATATGAAAAGATACTCTGAATCACTATTGATTAGAGAAATGTAAATTAAAACATCTCTGAGATACCATCTCATACTTATCAGAAATGACAAATGCTTGAGAAGATGTGGGAAGACTAGGTACACTAATGAACTATTTGGTAGAACTGTGAACTGATCCAACCATTCTAGAGAATAATTAGGAAATATTCCCAAAAGGCTATAAAACTGCGCATACCCCGTGATCCAGCAATACCACCGGCAGGCCTGTACCTCAAAGGGGTCAAAGAAAAAGGTAAAGGAAGGGCAGCTAAGGAGTACAGTGGATAGAGTACCAGCCCGGGAGTCAGGAGGATCTGAGTTCAAATATGACCTCAGACACTTACTAGTTGTGTGATACTGGGCAAGTCACTTAACCCTGATGGCCTCACCAAAAGAAAAGGATCTATATGTACAAAAATATTTATAGCAGCTTTTTGTAGTGGCAACGAATTGGAAACTGAGGGGATGCCCATTAATTGGGGAATGACTGAACAAGTTGTGGTGGATGATTATGATGGCATATTGTGCTATATGAAATGACAAAGAGAAATGGGTTAAAAAAAAGTCTGAGAAGACTTATATAAGCTGATTCAAAGTGAAGTGAGCAGAACTAGGAGAACTTTGTGCACAGTAACAGCAATGTTGTAATGATGATCAACTGTGAAAGACTTGACTTCTCTGTTCCACACAATAATCAAAGACAATCCCAAAAGACTCATATGAAAAAATACTATCTACCTCCAAAGAGAGAACTGATGAATTTTGAATGCAAATTGAAGTATAATTTTCTTTCTTTTTTTTCCTTTCTTTTTTTCCTTCAAATATGGCTAACATGGAAATATGTTTTGCATGATCTCACATGTATAATTGCTATCATATTGCTTGCCTTCTCAGTGGGTGGAGGATGGAGTGGAAAGGAGGGAGAGAATTTGGGACTCAAAATTTAAAAGAGGAAAGGATGTTAAAAATACATAAATAATAATTTTTTAAAAAATTTAAACAAAAACTAAACAATATAATCTCATTCAATAGCCAAATATATGGAAACATTATAAATACCCATTCTTCTTGGGTTTTCTGTTGCTATCTAACCTTTTACTTTTATATTGCCAACTTAAATTCAAAATTTTTACACGCTTACATAACATAAAAATGAGTTGCAGACAAATTAATATGTTCAAAGTAATAAGTTCAGAAGACTCATCAGAACTAAAGCATATGTTCTCAGTTAATAAAATGAATTCTACTGAAATGAATGAGTTATTTAGATATATTCAGAAGTTAAACACTTTCTATATTGGTCCTTTCTGATGAAGTTTTAAAGACTTGATGCAATTATCAGTTATTTGAATTTCATTCTGTTACTAGCACTGGTAAGGAAAGAGACATGAAATCAGAGCACGAAACAAAAGACAACAATTAACCAGTATTTGAACTGCGTGAGATAAAAGATAAACAAAAGATATGAAAAGGTAAACAAATGAGCAACAAAGAATATGGCTAAAGGAAGAGCAGAGCTAGAAATTAAGAAAATATTGTACAATTTTACTACATATCTTGTTTATTTCCATTGAGAAATAATTTGGAAAATAAAGCAGCTATAACAGCAAAAAAATTAAACCAATATGACTGAAGTCAGAAGCTCTTGTTATCTTTTACTTGTAGAATACAACATTTGTTTAATCCTTTATATATATATATATATTTTATATATATATATATATATATATATATATTTTATATATATATATACACACACAAGTATAACAATTTATTAAAAGAAGCTAAGGTGAAAATAAAAAATGTCACTAATTTCCATCAAAAATGAAAGAAATGGCCACTTAAAATTTAAAAACCCTAGAAAAAAATTTTAGTTTGAAAATTCAATTCTTGGATCCAAAATATAACAAGAATATATGGGGGGAGCTAGGTGGTGCAGTGGATAGAACACTGGCCCTGGAGTCAGGAGGACCCGAGTTCAAATCTGGCCTCAGATACTTGACACTTACTAGCTGTGTGACCCTGGGCAAGTCACTTAACCCCATTACCTAGCAAAAACAAAACAAAAAAGATCCTGTAGAAGGAAATTCAGCTATTACAGATGGCCTAAATCAGATCAGCAACCTACAACAATGGAGAAATAATTTTCGGTGGCACATAGTCACACACCGTAAAATGTTGTCATCAAGTCCCTTAGCAAAATGACAAAGCAGGCAAAGCCTTTCTTTGGTGCCTATGACCTCTCTCTTGGGTCTCTCTCCCACTACTAATTATCCTCTTCGAAAATTCCCAGTGTCAGGGGCAGCTGGGTGGTACAGTGGATAAAGCACCGATCCGGAAGTCAGGAGGACCTGAGTTCACATCCGACCTCAGACCAAACACTTGACACTTACTAGATGTGTGACCCTAGGCAAGTCACTTAACCCCAATTGCCTTAAAGTAAATAAATAAAATTGTAAACAAAAGAAAATTCCCAGTGTTTTCATAATGGTCTCTGTATTAAGTCTTTCATCTTTGCCATCTCACCTAGATTTGCCCTTCTTTTGAGTTCCCTAAGCCTCACAAATCTATCCCTCAGCAACCAAAATCCACATACTCTCCATATAATTGAACTCACATAAAATTAGTTTCCCTAGATCTCAGTTTCCTCATCTTTAAAAAGGAACTGAACTAACTGATCCCTAACGGACTTCACAGCTGCAAGATTTTATGACGTGAAGTCTCTCATGTCTACTGAGATCACTTAGCCTCCAAAAAAGTTTAGTTAGAAATTCTTCTGATTATCGCCAAACCCCAGGACATTTTTTTCCCTCTTGTGATTCTTAATATTTATGTGAAAGTTTGTTGAATTTACAGAATACACACTAAGTCATCAGACAGAAGGCATAGATAGCTCAAAGGTTTCTCTTAGCATTGTGTGGCTACCCTTTTCATCAGGTCTTTCCAATGATTTAGGCTTCATCCACTTAGGTTTAGGTTTATCCATTGCTAAAAATGTTAGTTGAGCCAAATTAGTTTATCATTTTTAGAGAGGTGGAATTTTGCATCAAAGTGAACACTATCCTGTCAATAAACTATCAACTCACTAACAGCAGTTATCAATTACACACAAAATCAGGATTTTTAGGTTCTTTAACTTGGGTTGCAACTGAATCATAGGGAAAACCCCCCCCACAAGCTTCTGCATACTTTCTTGAAGTCACTAACCATTCAATCCTGCATAGGTAGTAAAGATTTTTTAAAATCACCAAAAACTAGTTTAATTTAGGAAAGGAAAGAATGCCATTAGCATCATTCTCATTTGATAATAAAAGATAACAATCATTATTAATGTTAATCAAAACATACTATACCTTGAAACTCTATTGCTGTAACAACTTGATGGTTTCTTGGGGTAGAGAATCCATATACATTGTGATCTGAAAGGACAAACCAGATAGTATTCATTCAAATTATATAAAATTTCATTTCTCTCCCTGAAGATAGGCTTCTTAGCCTAAGTGAGACCTTACTTATAACTAGCCTTCAATTCTTTCACTCTGGCCAATTTTCAACCTATTATTGGTGCTATTTCACCCTCCCATAAGACCTCCAAAAAGATTAGGCCCTGGATGAGCTTGGAATTCCCACCCAGGGGCTAGGCTGTTTTGATTAGTAAGATTTAAATAAATCTAATCATATCTAGATCCATGCTATTTTTTTTTATTTTAAATAAAACTATATTAATACTGCCTTTATACCAGCTACATTTCCCTGTGAATCCCTCCTCCCAAAAGCTACCCCCTATAATGAAGAAAAAAAAAGATACAAAAAAAACACATTCCAGCAAATTTAAGCAATACATTGATAAGTCTGATATTTGCAATATCCCATGTTGATAATCCCTCTTCCCCTTTTGCAAAGGACTGGGAATAGGTATCTTTTCAGACTCTTCTTAGGGGCCAAGTTTGATCAATTAAATTGCACAGCATTTAGTTTTAATTGTTTTGCCATTATTGTTTTGTTAATTTTCACTGTTGCAGTCAATATGTACACTTCTTTCCTGGATCTGTTTACTTTGCATCAGTTCATATAAGTCATGCTTCTTTGTATTCAACATGTTCATAATTTCATACAGCATACTGACTTCATTCCATTCATGTACCACAATTTGTTAGCCATTCCCTAACCGATGTGTTTCTACTTTACTTCTGGTTCTTTGGCAATACAAAAATAAATATTTTATATATGTGGGGCCTTTCTTTTGTCATTGACACCCTTGGGGTATATGCCTAGCAGAGGAATAAAGGAAGGGTATATGCATGCTTTACTACTATTTTGCATAGTCCTGGAAATGCTGGCAACAACAATACAATAAAAGAAAAAAAACCCTCAAGGCATAAGCAAAGAGCAGACAAAACTATCTCTATTTGCTGGTCCAGGTGGAGGAGTTGACGTATTCCTTCCTTCCCCTTGCCACTTCTAGGCTCTCCTACCTTCATCACGCAGTAAACTCTCCTCCTAAAGGCATCTGGTGAATAGAGCACTGGTCCTAGAGTCAATACAACTGGAGTTCAAATCCAGCCTCAGAAATAACTAGCTGTGTGACACTGTTCAACTTCAGTTTCTATAAAATTGAGATAATAGTACATATTTCAGAGTTGTTTTCAGGATGAAATGAGATACTAATTGTGAGTGCTTAGCACAGTGCCTGGAACATAGTAGGTGCTCAATAAATACTTTCCCTTATTTAAATCCGTATTTATTTCTAAATCAAGATTCTGATCACTGTTATCTACCAACTTCAAGGACACTCTCCTTTTTTCAATAAGTTCAGTGCTAGGTTCATAGTCTTTCTCTTCTCCCCCACCCCTCCCTCGCCCTCACACTAGGAGACTTCAATATAACTACTACTTCCTCCAACACCTTATACTCCCACATCTTTAATTTATTCATTTCCCATGACCTACTCCTCCATCTCACCTCACCTATACATGGAGAAATTCAAACTCTTGATCTTGTCATCACCAACAAATGTCCCACTCTATGTTCACGGACTCTAAATTTCCCTTATCTGATTAAACAACAACAAACTTACCTCTGCCTAGTCTATATCCTAAGTGATTTGCAATCCCTTCCTGAAGTTCTTTCCCAAGTTACCACCCCTGCATAGGCAGGGATCTATTCCCTTCCCCATCTTGACCCCTTGGGAACCAGGTCAACTTTACACTGTTTATCTCTCTCAAGTTTCTTGCTTCTTTTTCCTATAGCTGATCTTGCTTTGCAAAGCCTCAGACTTGGGACTATTCCCTCCATCCTCTGCCTTTGTTCCTACTCATGTGCTGCTGAAAAAAGATAGAAAAAATCATGAAAATGTGCAGACAGGATTTTCTACAAATTTCTACCAAAAAAGTCTCAACTGATCCATCCATACTTGCTAGTTACCATCCTATATTTCTCCTCCCTTTTGTGGCTAACCCCTTTGAGAAAGCTATCTACAATGAATATTTCTACTTCTTTTCTACTTTCTCTCTTCTCACACTCAGCTTCTTGATTCTCTGTAGTGTAGCTTCTAACTTTATCATTCAACTGAAATTACTCTTTCTAAAGTTGCCAGTAATCTTTTAAAAATATTTTATTTTTCCAATCAGCAAAAATTCACCTTCTCGACCTCCCACTCTGACTCTCTCTCCTCTCTCTTACCATTGTGAACAAAAGAAAAATAAAACTCCTGTTAGAAACTTGTATAGTGAAGCAAAGCAAATTTCTGCATTGGTCATTAAAAAAAAAAAGATATGTTTTATTCTACAACCTGTGCCCTTTGTCTATATCTTTCATCATAAGTCTCCTGGAATCATGATTTGCTGCTTATACTGATAAGAACTTCTAAATCTTTCAAAGTTGTTTGACTTTATAATATTGTTGTCACTGTGTAAATTATTCTCCTAGCTCTATTCACTTCATTAGGCATCAGATTATATAAGGTTTTTTTCAGGTTTGTCTGAAACATCCCCTTTATCATTTCTTACAGCACAATAATATTTCATCATGCTTATGTACCATAATTAGTCATTCTCCAATTTATGGGCAACGCCTCAGATTCCCATCCTTTGCCGCCTTAAAAAGATATGTACATATTTTTGTATCACTTTCATTAGTATTTGTTTTCTTAGGACTAACCTCTCCCTTAATATATGTTTTCTCTAATTCTTCCTTCTTTTCTCCTTCCTTCCGATTTCACTGTAGAGTGAAATTTATTTCTGTACTCAACTATTTGTGTGTGTGTGTATTCTTCCTCCTTCCTTTGATCAATTCATTCAAATCAGATTAGAGTGAGCTTCAAATGTCAGCTGCTCTTCTGACCCAAAATGAGATAACTTTCCCTATCCTTTCTATCCTTTCCCTCTTGTAGTATAATCCTCTTTTCCCTCTTTCTGTTCTCTTAAGATTATCAATTCCTAGCAGAACCACTCCTAAGACTTTTGTCTAATTAGATTCCCTCTAGGACCCCTCATAATGATAGGGTTCCTTAGAGCCAGATATATCATTTCACCATATTAGAATATAAACAGTTCATCCTTATTTAGTCATTTATCATTATTCATTCCTGTTTACTTAATTCTTCTGTTTGAACTTCAAAGTGTTGACAGAATTCTTGTCTTTTCATGAACAGGAATGCTTAGAAGTCTTATTTTTTTAAATAAATTAGTCAACAAACATGCCACAGGTAACACAGCAGGGAACAGAGTAGAGAGAATCAGCAGCCACCCTCACCAAGGAACCCTTGAAGCATGTCCTGGAGACCCCTGAACTTTGACTTTCACCATCACTCTGCTGCTGCCATCAAGTCATTCCCTTGCTTCTCCAGTATGAAGCAAAGGTTGAGGGTGGTGGTGGTAGGAGCGAAAGAGTTTGCAAAGTTGCACAAGGGAGGATGGGAACTTAGCATTGGTAAGGTGGAAAATGCCTGCGAAAAACTGAAAGGCAAAACCCCCTTGTCCAGAGGGTTAAGTAACAGCACAATCAGCTTCCTGATGAGCCTGTTCTCCCCAACTCCCACACCCATTCCAGGTCCTGGACCATGGGCTCCATGGAGAAAAAAAAAAGACCTCTATTAAGTCTTGAATTGAGAAGTTTGGAACTAACTTTAGGTGTGTATCTGCATGTGTGTGGGGGGCAATCATTATACCCCTTTACCAAACACCCTCCCCTCAGTAGCAACCTCCCCCTCAACAGAAGGCATCTCAAGCATGATGTCTGTATGGGAATGGGGACAGCAAGCAGACAAGATGAAGGAAATGAAAAAGCAAAGGAAAACTAATGCAATGAAGAAATACTGTGGGGATAAGAATAAAACTTCAGAAAATAATTCAAAAGTAGCTTCAACTAGAACCCCAGAAAAAGAGTCTGTGGCATTTTCTCAATTTATTTGGAGGAGTTTTTTGTGGGGAACACACTGTACTTCTTCCTGCTACTTTGTTATCTTTGACACACATCCCAACGATCTTTTAATTAACAAAATTAAAGTCCTTTTGGTCAGTCCTGATCCTTCTTAATCTCTACACAGCCTGTTTATCACCCTCTTCTCCATAGTTACAGCTCTCTAGGTTTTCATGACACTGCTCTTTTCTTCTTCTCCTCTAAACTAACAAACTACTCCTTCTCAATTTCCTTGACTGGATTTTCATCATAGTCATACCCATTTTGACTATTAACTGTGGATGTCCCTGAAGGCTCTGTCTTGGGTCTCCCTTTTCTTCTCCTTATATACTATTTTGCTTGGAGATCTTATCAGCTCCCACAGAATCAATGATCATCTCCATGCTCAGCCTTAGATTACTTCTACCATCTTCTGCCTTTGCTCCCATTAACATATTGTTAAATGAAGATGGAGAAAAAAAAATCACAAAACCATGCTGACTGGGTCCTCTACAAATTTATGTTACACAATCTTGACTAGGCCTTCACTGAGGCAACTCCCTGTGGCTTGCCCTTCCCCCACAATCAGCTGAGAAACTTACCTTATATTTTAATGAAAAATTGAGGCTATTGGCTGAGAGCTCTCTTTTCTCCTCTTGTCCTCAGGTCACAGTGATGTCTCCTGCCACTATCCCCTCCTTTACCCCTGTCTCCCACGAAGAGGTGGCCCTTCTCCTTGCCAAAGCTATTCCCTCTGACAGCACAAGTGATCCCATTCCATCTTGTCTTTTCCAATAGATTGTGTTGTATTCTCTATCATCCTCACTCTTTTGTCTTCTATCTTTCTCTATCTACTGGCTGTTTCCCTACTGCCTACAAACATATCCATGTCTCTCTCACCCTCAAAAATCTTTGATTTGATTTGTCCATCCTCTCTAGTTTTATCCCACAACTATTCTCCTTTTTGTGACTAAACTTGAGAAGACCATCTACAATCAGTGCCTCCACTTCTTTTCCTTTC